TCTCTGGGTCAGTGTTAAACTCTCTCTCCTCTCTTTCTGTCAAAGTTTGGACCTCCCTCTCCTCCTCCTTCCCTCCCTCTCCTCCTCCTTCCCTCCCTCTCCTCCTCCTCTCCCTCTTTCCTCCCCTCCTGCTCCTAACTCTCCGAACCGCTGCAGCCTTCTGTCAGATCAAGCTCCTGCTCCGTTTTTAATATTTTTTTTCCTGAATTTTGGATCCGGGGGTGCTGGAGCTGGATGGATTCCTCCTTTGCTGGGTAGAAGTTGTCCCAGTTGATCGGACGGACTGGGATCTGAGCGCTTCAGGATTGTTTTTATTGTGATGCGACAGGAGCGAACCTGTGGATCAGTGGGTGAACTGAGCCGCAGGGAGGTTCATGTCTGAGGTAAGATCACATCCATCTGCTCTGGTTCTGATGCTTCTGTTCACATGAAAAATGAAGCCGACTCCATGAAAATGAACTTTTCCAACTAATCCTTGTGTTCTCCTGATTTAAAATTGAAATTTGATATTAAAATGTGTTCTTAATGATAAAAAAATAGTTAAAGTCAGTCTTCAGGTGATCACTGGAACCTCACGCGAAGCTTCTTGCACATTTAAAAAGTTTGATCACCTCATATTTAATTTAATAAAATAAATCAGCCGCGCTTACCGGCGCCTGTAATGCGCATCAGCGCCTGTAGGGGGAGCTTTTATGCGCTTTCTGCTGTTTGAAACCTGACTGAGATGTAGAGGTTTACTTCAGGTGGATGGATGTTAACTTTCTTTGGTTTATGTCTGAGTTTAAGCACCAGCTTTAATAGTTTCAGACAGTTTTCCCTTTTCATTTGGGAGAGAACTTGAGCACTGGGAGTGAAAATTGTTCAATTATTTACTTATTTAATTTGAGTAGGTAAATTAGATATTTTTATTCTTAAAATAAGATAATAAGATAAAATGCAGTTAAAATAAGACAATGCAATTGTGTTTTCTTATTTTAAATGTAAATTGTCTTATTCCATTGGCAAAATGTCTCTTTTATCTCCTCAATCCAAGAACAAAAGCACTTATTTTAATAAAAAAAATGACCTTTTTAGATTTAAATTTTTTCCAGTGAGTATCATCTGACCGTCATCCTGTTTGGCATTTCAGGCTCTTCTTTTAAACATAATTAAAAAAAACAAAAAGAGTTCCCACACAGAAAAAAAAGTCAGGAATGTCAGAAGGTCAGAGAGAGAGAGAGAGAGGAGGCCAGAGACAAGCATGGGACAAAGCAATGCTCTCTTCCTGCTTTAGGATGAAATAATAAAACAAAATTCTTCTTTCTTACAGTAACAGTTACAAAGATAACAAAACAACATATCAGGCTGCTTAAAAAAACAACAAGGAAACCTCTCTCAGACAAACAAGGAAGTTTCAGGAACTAAATCCTCTAAGATAAAATCAAACAAGTCCAAGGTCACCAGAGTGGAACTGATTTCCAGAAGCAGTGGATAAAATAACCGCCTGTTAGTTTATAGCAGAGAATCCTGCTTCTGTTTATCCATAAAAAAAGATCCTCAGTCTCATACTTATAGATTTACAGTTTGAAGGATTGATCTTTGTATAAAATAAACTATGCTGCAATAAATAAATTCAGTTTATTTATAGAGCCCCAATTCAGAACACATCATCTAAACCAACTGCAGAGAGGAGTTAAGGCTGATTTATAATCAGAAAGCAGGTCGTCTGCGTGTGTCGCATTGAATGCAAATGCAACCCCCCGCCCCCTCTGCAGACACTCTGCTGCACCTCTCCAAAATTGTAGGTGACCATAGACAGTGCTGCAGCCAGGAGGCCTCTATATACATCTAAATCTGCTCTATACTATACGTATTTCCTGTTTGGTACCTTACCGGCTTGTTTTGTTTGTATGACCGCCATTGTGGAAAACGACTCATGAAGATGGACCAGCTAGAAGAGCGAGGTGTGAGAGAACGCTGGGACTATTTTTCCACCTGGATCCCTGCTCTTTTTCGCCCTCATGTCCCTCCATTGACACACAAACTTGCCCCAACTTCCTCACCGCCTTGGCCGTATCTACACCCACAGCTAGTTCCTGATTGTCCCTCTTGTGTTGACGCGTGGAATAACATAGTGCAGACCACGCTTCAAAATTGGGCATAAGTCAAAAATATCTGCAACAAGCTCACTGCGACACATTGCTGCAGGAGTTGGTGCTGTGTGGTGTTGTGGAGGATTTTCTCAAAATATTTGAAAGACCCACCTTCCCCACTTAAAAAGAAATAAATGGGCGTATCTCCTCGTGCACGTCTTATTTAAAAGTTGCTGTTCTCATAGCTCATACAAGATTACTGCGTCCTAACATCCACCCTAACCCCTAAGTTCCTCAATCAGTATATAAAGCTGGAACTATATAGTGAACTCAGTCAACTTACTGTCGAGTAGTGTCAGCGTAAGGCAACAGCTGGCCGCTGTGACAGCAAATCCCAGAATGCTTTGCGAGGAGAGCTCTCCGCTGGGATATATCTGCCTCATCTGAGGCCTTTCTTTTCTTCTCATACACCTCGTAAACACTTTTTCTCTTATGTCCCTCTATCATTTTCAAAGAACCGCGGTGATAAAGGTGAGCTGAAACCGTAGCTCACCACAGACAAACGGCTGAAAGTGTGCATGCGCAGAAAAAGACAGCTAACGGGGGACGAGCATGTAGGATGGTCGTACGTAAACATGTCACCACAATGATATGGAACACCACTTATTTATATGAAATAAAAGATCGCCCTCTATAGCTTTAAGCAGACCATCCAGTCAGTCCGGTAAAAAGTTTTCATCTGATTGCCTCCAGTTAATGTTCTTCCTGACTGAGATTGTGGAGATATCAGATATTCGCTCTGATTTTGTCATCAACTCTACAGCAATGCCTTAATCAAAGCTAAAATAATAGGGGGTTTTCAGTGACGTCACTGGCCAGCGTCCGGTCCGCCATCTTGGGTGGCATATTATCGTATATCATATATATCATGTCGCGAATGGATAAGTACGCCAGCACGCTAGAGCCACCAGATCATGGAACATATCTGAG